ATAATGCGCGTGATACATACAACAGTCCTCCAGTACTATGTTCTTGTGAATATATCATCTGTGTGACAGTTGCTGTGTGTGATAAAGTTGATAAAACAATAATTATGCGGAACTGGAATTCGCGGGTTTGATATGGAGAGCTGCGCCAACATACATTATTAGGGCCGTTTTAGTCAATTTGGGGCCGGCTTTAGCCAAGCAAAATTGGGACTGTTTTGGTCATGTAAATGCTTTGCGCCAGATCCCACATACGTACGCTGATATTGTCGGAGATGGACGACCGACCCCGCAACATCACGGCGGGGATACCAGAACCGGGCTTCACATATTGTACCCATGTGGAAACTGAACCCCGGACCTTGACGGTCGAACACTTTTAACTGATGGGCTACCCCACCGCCCTCTCGCTAAAATTAACAACAGGTGTGAGACATCTACATCTTGACGAAGCACACCGCACCTGCCACCACGTGACTGTGGCCTGTAAAACAACCAGACAAACGACCGACGTTTTAAGCTTGTCTGGCTTTTATGACGTTCTTATGTCGCGGTTCTTAAGATCCGTTTTAGGGGCGGTGGGGTAATCCGGGCGGTTTAAGCGCTGGCTCGTCACGCCGAAGACCTGGCTCAGATCCCCACATGGGCACACAATGTGTGAAGCCCATTTCTGGTGTCCCCGCCGTGATGTTGCTGGAATATTGCGCTAAAAGCGGCGTAAAACCAAGAACTCCAGTCAGTCAGTCCAGTAAGTCTGCTTTGATGGCAGCAGCAACTTATAGAAGCGCTGGTAAAATTTCGAAGATGGCGACGATAGCTAAAGCGAGTAAAATATCGTATCCCAATTTGCGTCGAATGATGCTCCTTGATGTTGATCACCGGATTGTCTATACTAGGTTCAACTATTTCCACACCGCCGCCATATAGCGCCGCATATTTGCTGAGTGCAGCGTTAACAACAAACAAAGCAACCAACAGCATGGAACATACAAATTACTGAAGAGAGACAAATGCTCATGTATGCAGTGTCCAGTTAATGCAAGATATCATCAGTTGATCGAGGCTGATACATACAATGAATACATACAGATAGGAGATGTTCTTATAAAGGATTTGACTGGACGTATAAAAGGATCATTCCTTATAGAGACATTCACTAGCATACTAAGAGAGATAGTAGACCATAGACTACAGACAAATCAGTTGATTAGCTTCAGCTGATGCGTGCGTTTTCATCATGGCGGAGTATTGATAACGTCGGGGTTAAATGTCAAGGTCAGGAGTTAAATATCAAGGTGATAGTGTATCTTAAGTAGCTTTCTGTTCCTTTTTTCATACACGTATACCTGCATCTCTATCCGCTGGGGCTGAGGGACGATTTGTAAAAATGAAACTCCCTACGATATCTGCACTTGTCGGGCACATACTACGAACAATATTGTGACACTATTGTCGATTATTAATTTATCGTGACATATACTACAAGAGCAAAATTTATGGGAATAATCTCGCACCGGCAATTGGTATATAAAGTGAAACTTGGTGAGGTCGTTTTATACTCTTAAGGTAAATGCAGCTTTTGTGTGCTTAATAGGCGCTTTAAATGACATGTTTGAACATGCGAGGTGAAGTAACTGATTCAATATTCCGTTGATTTTTGGAGTGAAATGAAAAATTGTTGCTGAAAAGCAACGAAAACAACAAGGATGCTGAAACACCAGAGCCATGTTTCCTTTCAAACGCCTGGTGACACAACAGCCTAGTGCATGTGGTGAGAGACTCCCTTTGCAGCTTGTGACAATCCGGGCGCCGGTAAGCATTCAATGAATCGGTTCCAGCGGGCTTGGACCATAACATATCGGTCATCTGCCTTGATGCTCTTCTGGGTATTCCAAAGCGAGGCCTGTCCTTTACTCTACCAGTGGCCTTGAACCTGTCCCCTCAGTCTACAGGAATGACAGGAGGGAGATACCCCAAGACGGAGAGCAACACTTCTTTATGGATTCGCCATCATGTAACCATGCAATGGTCCTGCTTCTGTTGCGGGCGCTTAACGGTTTGCGCTGTGGCATAGTAAAGAAGATGTGAGGGCTTTTAATACTGTCTGTGGCTTCTTTTAAAGGAAACGTTGCCACAAGCTGCATGGGAAGTCTTCCACGTGCACTAGGCTGTTGTGTTTGGGCGTTTGAATCAAACATGGTGTTGGTGTGTTTCAGCACCTTGTTTTACGCTGCTGCTTTTAACAATGTTTCATTTCACTCCAAGCTCAACGAATATTGAATCAGTTGCTTCTACTGCATGTTCCAACATGTCATTTAAAGTGCCGCATTAAGCACACAAAAAGTTGCATTTGCCTTAGAGTATAAATGACTTCACCACGTTTCAGTTTATATATGACTATCATATTTTAGGGTGTTCCCATATTTTGTTTGTAGTATATAACAAACTCTTTAAAATATGATCAGCCAAGCAGAGTATGTCCATGAGAGCTGCCGACCTACGTAGAATATGTCCATTAGAGCTGCCGACCTACGTAGAATATGTCCATGAGAGCTGCCGACCTACGTAGAATATGTCCATTAGAGCTGCCAACCTTCGTAGAATATGTCCATTAGAGCTGCCGACCTACGTAGAATATGTCCATGAGAGCTGCCGACCTACGTAGAATATGTCCATTAGAGCTGCCAACCTTCGTAGATTATGTCCATGAGAGCTGCCGACCTTCGTAGCTTATGTCCATGAGAGCTGCCGACCTACGCAGAATATGTCCATTAGAGCTGCCAACCTTCGTAGATTATGTCCATGAGAGCTGCCGACCTTCGTAGCTTATGTCCATGAGAGCTGCCGACCTGCGTAGATTATGTCCATGAGAATTGCCAACCTTCGTAGAGTATGTCCATGAGAGCAGCCGACCTTCGTAGATTATGTCCATGAGAGCTACGACCTTCGTAGATTTTGTCCGTGAGAACTGCCGACCTTCGTACATTATGTCCATGAGAGCTGCCGACCTTCGTAGATTATGTCTATGAGAGCTGCCAACCTTCGTAGATCATGTCCATGAGAGCTGCCGACCTTCGTAGATTATGTCTATGAGAGGTGCCAACCTTCGTAGATCATGTCCATGAGAGCTGCCAACCTTCGTAGATGTCCATGAGAGCTGCCAACCTTCGTAGATCATGTCCATGAGAGCTGCCGACCTTCGTATATTATGTCCATGAGAGCTGGCAACCTTCGTAGATTATGTCCATGAGAGCTGCCAACCTTCGTAGATTATGTCCATGAGAGCTGCCGACCTTCGTAGATTATGTCTATGAGAGCTGCCGCCCTTCGTAGATTTTGTCTATGAGAGCTGCCAACCGTCGTAGATCATGTCCATGAGAGCTTCCGACCTTCGTGGATTATGTCCATGATAACTGCCGACCTTCATAGAGTATGTCCATGATAAATGCAGAAAGTCGTCCATCTGCCTTTAAAGGCAAGCATGACAGGGAAATACGGCAGGGCCGGCAGACAGCGAGAAGATCGCGGACAACCAGAAGAGAGGCAAGCCAGGGACTCGATGGGACGAAATGACCACTCAGTATAGCCCATATGCTGCCCAAGAGTCACCCTCACGTCGTCGCTTACCCTGGTAGCCTCTGTCGATACAACCGTTCTTTCTAAAACAACGTTGTTTCAACTGCTCCAGAGGTGTCACAGTAAGGGGTTTGCAGGACTTGCTCATAAATAGTGGTGGGGTAACCTAGTGGTTAAAGCGTTCGCTCGCAAAAGGTTGGCAAAGAACCATCTCTACACTAAACATCATAGTGATAGTTGGCGTCTCACAAGACCAGAAACAATGGAACACTTGTACACCGTTTTACAATGAACAAAACTTCCAAATAAAAATATATATTTATTAAAAGTAGAAGGAAGACAATTTCAAAGAGGAACCGCCTTGACCAGCACAATTCCTGTTGGGTTGACAGTCACATTGAACTGACCACTCGGCTTGAACATTCCCATACCGACGTCATCAAACACGTCAGTAACGTTATAGCCGTTCTGATTGGTCAGTGTGATATCCCGCCAGGCTCAAGGACATGCGGGTTGGTGTTTCATCAGAGTTTGGGTTGAAGAACGCAACCTGCATAACTTCAGGTTTGACCAAAGGCTTCCAGCCAGACCCTGAACGTTTTGAATCTGCAATCAACAGGAAAGGGAAAGGTCGCATTCATGAGCGCTTCGTGCAGACAGACCCACGCAAAAAGGCATCGGTACAGGAACCGACATAGACTGGCACACAAGCACAGACAAAGAGACATCGACAATGACATGAGACATAGACACAGATAGAGCACATATACAGACATGTATATACATACACATAGATACAGATAGACACATATTCACTGAGAGGAACAATATAAAGGAACACATGAGACAAGTCATAACGCTTTAATATTTTCCAGTTTTCATCACCAACTTTGAATATCGCTGTAGTAGATGAAAAATTGGAAACTCATTAAAGGAACAGCTTTGAATAACGACCCAGAAGTTCTTTATTTGTTTCCCTCTCAGTATATATCAATACATGCATTCACACAGACACAGACATACATAATGACACAGACATAGATACAGATAGACATATACACAGACGGAGACATGTATAATGACACAGACATAGATACAGATGGACACATATAGAGACACAGAGACATGTATAATGACACAGACATAGATACAGATGGACACATATAGAGACACAGACACAGACATGTATAATGGCACAGAGATAGATACAGATGGACACATATAGAGACACGGACACAGAGACATGTATAATGACACAGACATAGATACAGATGGACACATATAGAGACACAGACAGACATGTACAATGGCACAGCCATAGATACAGATGGACACACATAGAGCCAAGGACACAGACATGTATAATGACACAGACATAGATACAGATAAACACACATAGAGACACGGACACAGACATGTATAATGACACAGACATAGATACAGATGGACACATATAGAGACACAGACACAGACATGTATAATGACACAGAGATAGATACAGATGGACACATATAGAGACACGGACACAGACATGTATAATGACACAGACATAGATACAGATAGACACATATAGAGACACAGACACAGACATGTATAATGACACAGACATAGATACAGATAGACACATATAGACAGACACAGACATGTATAATGACATAGATGTATAATAGAGACACGGACACAGACATAGATACATAGACACGGAGATAGACACATATATCGACACAGACACAGACACAGACACAGAGACACACATGGACACGGACATGGATAATGACACAGACATAGATATAGACATATACACACACATAGAGACACGGGACACAGACATGTATAATGACACAGACATAGATAGAGATAGACATAGACAGAGACACAGACACAGACACAGACACATAGACATAGATACAGATAGACACACACAGACACAGACACAGACAGTATACAGAGACACAGACATAGACACAGAATGACACATACATAGAGATAGACATGACATGACACAGACATACATACAGATAGACACATAGAGAGACACACGGACACAGACATGTATAATGACACAGACATAGATACAGATAGACACATATAGAGACACACGGACACGATGGACATGTATAATGACACAGACATAGATACAGATAGACACATAATAGAGACACGGACACAGACATAATATAATGACACAGACATAGACACAGATAGACAGACATATAGAGACATAGAGACACGGACACAGACATGTATAATGACACAGACATAGATACAGATAGACACATATAGAGACACGGACACAGACATGTATAATGACACAGACATAGATACCAGATAGACACAGACACAGATGACACAGACACGGACACAGACATGTATAATGGCACAGACATAGATACAGATAGACACATATAGAGACACGGACACAGACATGTATAATGACACAGACATAGATACAGATAGACACATATAGAGACACGACACAGACACATGACACATAGATGGACATAGATACGAATAGACAGAGACAAAGACATAGATACAGATAGAGACAGATATAGATACAGAGATATATAGAGACACAGAGAGGCGGAGACATATACACGGACACAGACATGAAGAGTATAATAGACACAGACATAGATACAGATAGACACATATAGAGACACGGACACAGACATGTATAATGACACAGACATAGATACAGATAGACACAGATATGGAGACACAGACACAGACATGTATAATGACACAGACATAGATACAGATGGAGACACATATACAGACACGGACAGCAGAGACAGACATAGATATGTATAACATAAACATAGAGGTGGACATAGATACAGATAGAACACATATGGACAGAGAGGACACAGACACAGACATAATATAATGGACATAACACATAGATACAGATAGAGTGGACACATATAGAGACACGGACACAGACATGTATAATGACACAGACATAGATACAGATAGACACATATAGAGTGACGGACACAGACATGTATAATGACACAGACATAGATACAGATAGACACATATAGAGACACGGGACAGGAGAGACATATAATGACACAGACATAGAGTATGGATAGACACACATATAGAGGATACAGACATATAGATAAGGAAATATAAGAGACATATAGATATAAAAGGATATATACAGATGGACATATATACAGACACAGACATGTATAATGGACATAGACATAGGAGACATATAGAGACATACAGATATGGAATGGACATATGTATAGTAGAGGGACATAGACAACAGAGTATGTGGTAATGGACACATATAGAGACATAGAGGGACAGTACACAGACATGGATATAGACATAGATGAGATACAGATAGACACAGATATAGAGACATTTGGACACAGATGATGTATAATGACAGACATAGATAATAGATGGACACATAGCATAGACACAGACACAGAGATATGCACAGCACATAGGACATATATACAGAGCATGTATAGAGACATGGTATAGATACACGGACACAGACATTCTATAATGGCACAAAGACATAGATAGACATGGACATACAGACATGTAGAGACATGAACAGAGACATGTATAACGACACAGACATAGAGACATAGAGATGAAGGACACATAGGAGAGACATGGACACAGACATAGATATACAGTAATGACACATATAAAGACATGACAGATGGACAGGACATAGAAGAAAAGGAAACAGATGGACATATGGACATAGACATGCAATGACACAGATGATGTATAGAATGGAGATTTGACACAGAGCATGGAAGGAGAGATACATAGAGACATAGACATAGAGCATGGTAATATACAGACATAGAGATGGTAGTAGGTGGACATGGATACAGACATGTATAATGACACAGACATAGACAGAATTAGCAGATAGACACATATAGCACATGGACACAGACAGTAGAGTGGACAGACATGGAATAGAGATATGGAAGGGACATAGAGAGGTGGATGGATATAGACACGACACAGACATAGATACAGATAGACACATATAGAGACACAAACACACATGACATGTATAATGACACAGACATAGATACAGATGGACACATGACAAAGGACACAGACATAGACATATAGAGAATGACACAGACATAGATACAGACATACATAGTCTAGATAGACACATATAGAGACACGGACACAGACATGTATAATGACACAGACATAGATACAGATAGACACATATAGAGAGACACGGACACAGACATGTATAATGGACACAGACATAGATACAGATAGACACATATAGAGACATAGAGACACGGACACAGATGTATAATGACACAGACATAGATACAGATAGACATATATAGAGACACGGACATAGACACAGATAATATACAGACATGGCTGAGACATAGACACAGATAGACACATATAGAGACACATATAGAGACACAAAGACATGTATAATGACATAGACAGACACACATAGATACAGATAGACACATATAGAGACATATAGAGATTGACACAGACATGTATAATCATCCAGGACATAGGATGATGAGACATAGACAGACATAGATACAGAGACAGACACATGTAGACACGACCACAGACATAGATAGACAGATGGACACATATAGAGACATGGACACAGACATGTATAATGACACACAGACATAGACAGACACAGACACATATAGAGACGGACACAGGACACAGACACATGACATAATGACACAGAACATAGATACAGATAGACACATAGACAGAGACACGACACAGACCCAGGACACAGACACAGACATAGATGGACACAGAGAAAGACAGATACCGACACACAGAGACATGGACACAGAGACATGACACAGACACAGACACACATACAGATACAGACACAGACAGACACAGAGACACAGAGACACGGAATGACACAGACATGACACAGACAGAGAATGACATACAGATAGACACAGATACAGACACATGGACACAGACACAAACATGCATAATGACAAAGACATAGATACAGAGACACAGGACACATATAGAGAGGCAGATGGACACACAGAGACACAAACATGTATAATGACACAGACAGACATGGACAGAGATAGACACAGACATAGATAATGGACACAGACATGCACAGACAGATGGACACAGAGATAGATAGAGATAGACACATATAGAGACAGGACATGTATAACACAGACACAGACATGAAAATGATACAGACAGAGATGGACACAGACATAAAGACACAGAATAGACACGGATACAGACATAGAGCACACATGACACAGACATAGATAGACATGGACATAGACACACATAGACATGTATAATGACACAGACATAGATACAGATAGAGACACATATAGAGACATGACATGGACAGAGACATGGACACAGATACACAGACATAGATACAGATAGACACATATAGAGACATGGACACAGACATGTATAATGGACACAGACATAGATACAGATGGACACATATAGAGTGGACGGGACATAGACATGTAGACATGACACAGACATAGATACAGATGGACACACATATAGAGACACAGACATATGTATAATGACAAAGAGTATAGATACAGATGGACACATATAGAGACACAGAGACATGTATAATGAAGGAGTAGAGAGTGATGGAGATATAGATATAGATATAGACACATGTATAGAGACAAAAGAATATAGACATAGACATGTATAATGACACAGACATAGATAGAGATGGACATATATAGAGACACAGACACAGACATGTATAATGACACAGAGATAGATACAGATATAGAGAGAATGGACATAATGATATAGATATAGAGACACATGTGGACACGGACATGTATAATGACATGGACATAGATATAGATAGACACATATAGAGACATATGGAGACATGTATAATGACACAGATATGGAATGATATACAATAGGACACAGATAGGGGAAGGAGACACATAGAGACACTGACACAGACATGTATAATGACACAGACATAGATACAGATAGACACATATAGAGACATGGATAGGACACAGACATGTATAAGATAGACACAGACATAGATACAGATAGACACATATAGAGAGACACGGACACAGACATGTATAGAATTACAGAGACACGGCCCAGACATAGATACAGATAGACACATATAGAGACACGGACACAGACATGTATAATGGCCTGAGACATAGATACAGATAGACATATATAGAGACACGGACACAGACATGTATAATGACACAGACATAGATACAGATAGACACATATAGAGACACGGACACAGACATGTATAATGACACAGACATAGATACAGATAGACACATATAGAGACACGGACACAGACATGTATAATGACACACAGACATAGATACAGATAGACACACATAGAGACACGGACACAGACATGTATAAGACACAGACATAGATACAGATAGACACATATAGAGACACGAACAGAGACATGTATAATGAACACAGACATAGATACAGATGGACACATATACACACATGACACAGACAAGACATACATAATGACAAAGACATAGATACAGATGGACACACATATAGAGACATAAACATGTATAATGACACAGACATAGATAGAGATGGACACATATAGAGACATGACACAGACATGTATAATGACACAGACATAGATAGAGATAGACACATATAGAGACGGACGCTGTGGACACAGACATGTATAATGACACAGACATAGATAGAGATAGACACATATAGAGACACATAGGACACGGACATGTATAATGACACAGACATAGATACAGATGGACACATATAGAGACACGGACACAGACATGTATAATGACACAGACATAGATACAGATGGACATATATAGAGACATGGACACAGACATGTATAATGACACAGACATAGATACAGATAGACACATATATAGAGACACGGACACAGACATGTATAATGGACACAGACATAGATACAGATGGACACATATAGAGACACGGACATGTATAATGACACAGACATAGATACAGATGGACACATATAGAGACACAGACATGTATAATGACACAGACATAGATACAGATGGACACATATAGAGACACAGACATGTATAATGACAAAGACATAGATACAGATAGATGGACACATATAGAGACACACGACACAGACATGTATAATGACAACATAGAGACACAGACATAGATAGAGATGGACACACATATAGAGACACAGACACACAGACATGTATAATGACTCAGAGATAGATACAGATAGACTCATATAGAGACACACGGACACAGACATGTATAATGACACAGACATAGATACAGATGGACACATATAAAGACACGAACATAGAGACACTGACACAGACATGTATAATGGACACAGACATAGATACAGATGGACACATATAGAGACACGGACACAGACATGTATAATGACACAGACATAGATACAGATAGACCCATATAGAGACACGGACACACATAGACATGTATAATGGCCCAGACATAGATACAGATAGACACATATAGAGACACGGACACAGACATGTATAATGGCCCAGACATAGATACAGATAGACATATATAGAGACACGGACACAGACATGTATAATGGCCCAGACATAGATACAGATAGACACATATAGAGACACGGACACAGACATGTATATATGACACACACATAGATACAGATAGACACATATAGAGACACGGACACAGACATGTATAATGACACACACATAGATACAGATAGACACATATAGAGACACGGACACAGACATGTATAATGACACAGACATAGATACAGATAGACACATATAGAGACATGGACACAGACATGTATAATGACACAGACATGGATACAGATGGTCACATATAAAGACACAGACACAGACATATATACATAATGACACAGACATAGATACAGATAGACACATATAGAGACATGGACACAGGCATGTATAATGGCCCCAGACATAGATAAAGATAGACACATATAGAGACACGAACATGTATAATGACACAGACATAGATACAGATGGACACATATAGAGACACAGACATGTATAATGACACAGACATAGATACAGATGGACACATATAGGATACAGACAGATATAATGACAAAGACATAGATACAGATGGACACATATAGAGACATGGACACGGACATGTATAATGACACAGACATAGATAGAGATGGACACATATAGAGGAACACAGACACAGACATGTATATATGACGACACAGAGATAGAGCATACAGATGGACACAGACATATAGAGACACACACATATATACAGAATATGGACACAGACATAGATAGAGATAGACACATATAGAGACACAGACATGTATAATGACACAGACATAGATACAGATAGACACATATAGAGACACGGACACAGACATGTATAATGACACAGACATAGATACAGATAGACACATATAGAGACACGGACACAGACATGTATAATGACACAGACATAGATACAGATAGACACATATAGAGACACGGACACAGACATGTATAATGACACAGACATAGATACAGATAGACACATATACAGACACAGACATGTATAATGACACAGACATAGATACAGATGGACACATATAGAGACACAGACATGTATAATGACACAGACATAGATACAGATGGACACATATAGAGACACAGACATGTATAATGACACAGACATAGATACAGATAGACACATATAGAGACACGGACATGTATAATGACACAGACATAGATACAGATAGACACATATAGAGACACAGACACAGACATGTATAATGACACAGACATAGATACAGATGGACACATATAGAGACACAGACATGTATAATGACACAGACATAGATACAGATGGACACATATAAAGACACGAACATAGAGACACTGACACAGACATGTATAATGACACAGACGTAGATACAGATAGACACATATAGAGACGCGGACACAGACATGTATAATGACACAGACATAGATACAGATGGACACATATAGAGACACGGACACAGACATGTATAATGACACAGACATAGATACAGATGGACACATATAGAGACACGGACACAGACATGTATAATGACACAGACATAGATACAGATGGACACATATAGAGACGCGCACACAGACACAGACATGTATAATGACACAGACATGTATAATGACACAGACATAGATACAGATAGACACATATACAGAGACAGGCGCCCGCACAAACATAGACACGGACACAAAGTTGAAGAGGCAAACAAAGACGCCGACAGAAGCATAGGCAATTACACGAACACATACACAAATGAGACAGGCATAGATACAGACATAAGACTCAAGCGTAGGCACAGAGACAGACATGGACACATGCGTAGATACACACGCACGCATGCGCACGCACACACACACACACATATGGCATAACTAATTTTAGTTCTGGTTTTAGACCCACGTTGTACCATCTTTACATGTTGTCACATGATAGTGCATGGTGTCACAGATATCTTGTAATCCTCACAGCAAAGGCGCTGTCCACCAGTTCGAATACTGCTGGATTCATCTTAGGACAAAATGTGGGTGGAGATAACATGTTAATTCACTTGGAGTAATTTCCTGCTTCGTTTCAAAATTAGGCGTAAATTTAACGTACCAGCGTCCCGATCCACAAGACGTTTGTAGCGCTGCGACATTCGTAGCCTATGATAAATTATAGTGTTACGACAGGTCGTAACTTTACGAACGCTTTGTGGATCGGGACCCAGCAAAGTTATAGTCCCATTCATTTCCAATTATTGTACCTGTACTGACGGAAGGAGTGAATGTATTTGCATTTATCTGGAAGAAGACGTTCACCTCGACGTCTCCAAACATCCCACCTCTTTTATCATATTGGCTCCCTTTACGAGTGGGTCTTGGTTGATGGCGATGACGCCCTTGTTTTGTAGAATGGCCTTGGCCTCTGGTCTGATGGTCCTCAGATCAGCGGAGATGTAGAGTGGGGCGGCAAACATCGCCCACATCCCGAACTGTGACTTCTCCTGGTCGTAACTCAGACTGAAGTCCCCGATGATCAGCTGTGTGATAGAAGTACCGAATACAAACATCTTTTTAATTGGTGACAGTACATATCAGTTCAGGGTAATTTTGTTGAACATACCATAACAAGCGCATCGATGTAAAATACCAATAGAACATTCATGTAAAGGTTCGGATATGAAACGGGCTTAATCTAGCCAGTATGGATTGCGTGAATTAAGTTATGAAGCAAAATGTTTAGAGCGTATTTTGAAAGAGCTGTTGGGTAATGTCAACCATTTGCATGTTGTACCTCATCTGGATCGTTGATGGACCCTGGACCTGATACGGAGATGAAGTCCCCGGCGTTCTGGGCGTAGTGTTGGATGATGGAGAGGACGGAGGGCCACGTGTCCAGTATGTCGGTGAAGGTCCTCCAGCTGTTGCAGTACTCGCTGTTGCGGGTGTAGTGGGAGTGCTGGGGACGAATGTAGGAAGAGCGTTAGGAGAACACTTTAACTCATAAAAGACATATTATGAAAAGCTGATTCAAGACAAATGTGACTTCACAGTCAGAGGCTTAAGGTGTGAAGAAAAACATGCCTTCAGTCAGATACCCAAGCTCATTGTTTTCGTTGAATTTGGAAATCTATACCACAGGAATGAACCGTGTTTCAAAATCTATTTCATGCTGAGAAATGAACTCTCTCTCTCTCTCTCTCTCTCTCTCTCTCTCTCTCTCTCTCTCTCTCTCTCTCTCTCTCTCTCTCTCTCTCTCTCTCTCTCTCTCTCTCTCTCTCTCTCTCTCTCTCTCTCTCTCTCTCTCTCTCTCCGCTGCCATATGGCTGGAATATTAATATTGCTGAGTGCGGCGTAAAACTAAACTCACTCATTCACTCTCAGTTGACTTTGATCGTGTTACAGTTGAAATGTCCTGTCACAAATGAATGAAATACTGTAGGACATGTTTACTTTAACAAACCAACACGACAGAAAATAACCATTTTTCTACGAATACCTCCTTCCGCGGTGATGCCACCGTTAGTTCAGCCGCAAAGTTCTGCCATTAATGTTTTCCTAATTCATGGTGAAATATGCAGATTTACCTACCTGGGTCTGGTCTCCACTCCACCATTCACACGTAAAGAGGATAGGTCTGCCAGTCGCGTTCAGACTTTGACTCATTAAGGGAAATCTGAAACACACAATTCCATGAACGAATACATTAAGACATCGCCACACTACAACTTAGTGATCAGTCGATGTGTAAATTATTTGACTGAGTGAGTATAGTTTTACGTTGCGTTTAGCAATATTCCAGCAATATCACGGCGTGGGACACCAGGATTGGTCTTCACACATTGTACCCATGTGGGAAATAGAACCACGCTTTAACCATAAGGCTACCCGTTATATCAATGACCCACTGAACTCAGTGATAACACCTTACCCAACCATAATGTTTGGCGTCTTGACATCATGAGAAATACTATATTTTCTAATCTTGCCTTAAAAGAAATGTTACCATACACGAATTCGTAATGTTGTAGTTAAATACACAAAGTTCAGGTGAAACTATTGCTTGATCTTACGTATTGCCGAGCGATTTGCGTCCGTGTTACAGCCATCAAACTTGAGCAAGTCCAGTTCCCATCTTGCAAACGTCTCGGCGTCCTGCTTCGTGTAGTCCTGGCTCCCAGGGTACCCTGCGCACGTCTTGGTACCGACGTCTTCATAGATACCCAGTTTTAGCCCACGTGAATGTACCTGTGAAAAGTAACGTGGCAGATCCAATACATATTGCCATTATACGGCATTATATGGTCACGGTACAAAACGGTAAGGATGTGCCGGATTGTGTGGTACGACATTATATGGTCACGGTACAAAACAAAAGGATGTGTCGGATTGTGTGGTACGACGCATGACGTACAGATACTAGAACAACAACAATATGTTACCCTCTTGTTTTAGAAATATTCATGCGCTTCTTTCAGAATCTCATCATCAGTGAAACGATTATAGAAATATTTTTTGTCCTGTTGTCTGAGTATAGGCGGGGAAAAACGTATACATGCATGTTTGATGATGGTTCAGAAAGAGTGAGTGAGTGAGTACTGTTTTACGCCGCTTTTAGCAATATTCCAGCAATATCACGACACCAGAAATGGGATTCACACATTGTACCCATGTGGGAATCGAACCCGGGTCTTTGGCGTGACGAGCGAACGCTTTAACCATTAGGCTACCCCATCGCCCTTGGCTCAGAAAGAAATTAACAAGATTTGATGGTGATATATTTTAGTGTAGTTTGGGTTTGGACCTTGAGTTTGTGCAGTTGTGTAAACATGATCCTAACTGTGTTAACAGCCATCACTCGTTGTACATCAGCTAAGTCCTTTACGTCAAACCCGTGAAGTTCCGGGTTAGAATATTGGCCTTCAGTAACCCATGCTTGTCGTAAAGGCGACTAACAGGATCGGGTGGGCAGTCTCGCTTGACACATCGTATCCGAATTGCATAGATCAATGCTCATGCTGTTGATCACTGGATTGTCTGGTCCAGACTCGATTATTTACAGACCGCCGCCATATAGCTGGAATATTACTGAGTGCGGCGTAAAACTAAACTCACTCACTCACCTTTACGTCAACTGTATGAATATAAGTTTACTGATGTATATACATTTTTTACCTACAGAACTGTACATCACTTCATAACGGTGTTAGCATCTACACCAAAACGTCACATAGATTTTAATAAAGAAATTGTTTATCCATATCTTAATCCTTAGACAAGTCACGGTCAGTGGTCCATTTAGTGATTTCAGTTCAATTGGTAAGGTATCACTGGAGAATGGGAGACTTACACTGAGGAGTGAAGCCTCCGATAAGAGACTACTGATTCGCGACTTCACTCCGACTGCCCATTCAGAATATTTGAGGTAGTATTTGAAGGAAAACCAAGTTCTATGGATAGTCAACGTATTTGTTAGTATCTACACCGAAACGTCGAACTCATTGCAATAAAGAAGTTGACTATCCATAGAACATGGTTTTCCTTCAAATATTACAACTTCTAAAATGCCTCTCAAAGAACAATGAAAACGTAAAATTTACTTTGGACTTTATCTAGGCTTTGAATAACTTATTCCTTTTAGTGAGCCTAAAATGGGAAGGCTGCACGTAGTTCCAGACCCCAGCACCATTACACGGGTCACTTAGGAATTCGGAACAGGAAAGACGATTGATACGAAAGTCTGAGCTTTGGATTCAGATAAACTCTTACATACCGAGAGATACCCAAGGACATGATGGTTGTTTGTGATAAGAAGAGGTGAAACATTCAAGTATAATCTGGCGAGCAAACCATTTGAGGCAATAGGAGAGGATTAACATGATCTTTTTCTTACATATCGAGAGAGACCAAGGATTCCGTTGGGGAACCTCTCTGGGTCTGCCACGAGGTTGCCGTCAGCGTCCCGAGATTTGGCAGGCCAGCAGTCGTCGATGCCGATGTATTCGTAGCCGAGCTCGCGGTAGCCCTCCTCCGCTATAATGTCTGCCATTTTCATGAACAACTTCTCGCTGGAATTATGTTTGTGAATGTCAATAATAATTTGAATGGGCCTTGCACTAAGACTTTCATAAATAACTGAAGGACACTTACGTAAATAAAGGGGAACTCGGGGGGGGTGGTGGGGTTTGGGGTGGGGTGTTATTTTTAAGGAGTATAATGAACAATGTGAATCAACACACACACACCCCTCCCACCCCCTGCACACACACACACACACACACACACACACACACACACACACACACACTAAAATTTAGGTAACAAAGTAAGTGACCCCCTGCACTAACTCCATAAAAATCAGGCTCAATGTCGTGTAAAACATACTCACTACATGACATTGTGTAATGCATTCCTTAAGATTTATAATAGAGGTTTAAAACATATAATTGACTTTCACTTTGTGTGAGTGAGTGAGTGAGTGAGTGTAGTTTTGCGCCGCTTTTAGCAATATTCCAGCGATATCACGGTGGGGGACACCACAAAAGGGCTTCACACATTGTACCCATGTCGGGAATCGAACCCGGGTCTTCGGCGTTCCACCGCCCCGTAGGCCAGGTGAGGTGCGTTTTGTATGCATACATATGCGTATGCATATGCCTGTACGTATTCGTGTGTATGTGCGTGTGCGTGTTCGCATGTCTGGTAGAAATAATTCTCCTTCGTTGTGTGTTTCCTTTAATCTACAGTTTTTCGTATATTTGTTTCCTATTTGTGTCATGTCGACAGCGAGCCAGGCCGACTAGTTGACAGCGCGGCAATACCGTCCTCGGATCAAAGGCCCACTATCGTACAACAGCTGGGGAACACACGCTCAGACTTTGATACACAATAACGATATCCTTTCTCAAGGCATTGTGATCAGTATCTGTCAACAGTGGAGCAAATCAGTAAAGATAATCTGCGATCGTGGACAATCGTAACTGCTAAACTTTAACACAGACTTACTACAATCTAGGCGCCAGTATCACTTTGTAGTACAAGGACCTGGAGTGAGTGAGTGAGCTTAGTTTTATGCCACACTCAGCAATATTCCAGCTATATGTCGATGGTCTCTTAATAATCGAGTCTGGACCAGACAATACAATGATCAACAGCATGAGCATAGATCTACGCAATTCGGATACGATGTGTCAGCTAAGTCAGCGAGCCTGACCACCCGATCCGTTAGTTGCCTCTTACGACAAGGGGGGGTTGCTGAAGATCGACTCTATCCCAGATCTTTACGGGTTTCGGGTCACATGGATGACCAGAAAGAAGAGTTGGACAGTGGATTGCTCGACAATGTCTGAATGTGGCGCTAAACAACACATCAAGTGCTACTACTACTACTACTACTACTACTACTACTACTACTATGTATACTACTACTATGTATACTACTATGTATACTACGTATGCTACTACTACTATTACTATTACTAGTACTTCGTATGCTACTACTACGTATACTACGTATGCTACTACTACTACGTATACTACGTATGCTACTCCTACTACGTATACTAAGTATGCTACTACTGCTACTTCTATTATTACTACTAATACTACTACTACCACCACTACTACTACGTATGCTACTACTACAACTACTACAACTACTACTACTACTACTACTACTACTACTACTACTACTACTACTACCACTACTACTACTACTTCTACTACTGCTATTGCTGCTGCTGTTACTACTACTATTACTACTATTACTACTACTACTACTACTACTACTACTACTACTACTACTACTACTAAGTATATGTTTTTACTTTACTGCAAGGACAAACCTGAGGATGAATTAAGCGCACGTTATTCTACATTGCCCATTTTACAACGAAGTCAGGACTCCCCTTTTAAACAAGATTTTGTACCCTGTTTAAATGTTTTATCTGATGATGAAATATGTCATGTTTTAGCCAACCCCTCCTTGATGTTTATTACTGCCCAAACCTGCCAGGATAGTCTAGATGCTCGTTGTTTACACTTATATAAATAATTGTATAGTCTATTTTTCCATGTTTATACTGTTTTATGCATGTAGATATGTTTTTGTCTTAAAGTAGTCTCTTATAACTCCAGAAGGAGTGGCTTGTATATTTGTTTACACAAATTTATGAAATGTATTATATATGAGTGAGTGAGTGAGTTTAGTTTTACGCCGCACTCAGAAATATTCCAGCTATATGGCGACGGTCTGTAAATAATCGAGTTTTGACCAGACAATCCAGTGATCAACAGCATGAGCATCGATCTGCGCAATTGGGAACCGATGACATGTGTCAACCAAGCCAGCGGGCCTGACCACCCGAACCCGTTAGTCGCCTCTTACGACAAGCATGGGCTACTGAAGATCAATTCTAACCCGGACCTTCACGGGTCATATTATGTACGAGGTGAGACTAATAATATATTCTGTCTGTCTGTCTGTCTGCAGACCAGAGTATATCATGTAAATATGTGCTGATTTATACTTTCCATTTCCAACGGACCTGTTCCTTGAATTTAATTGTTACTAATTTCAGACATTTAATTTTAATTTAGGTGTGCAACCTTCTACAATTTGTGTGATAATTCTTGTGGGCGCAGAAAGAAGTATCATCCCAAAGTGAAGCAAAATACCCCATATTTCAGATTGGTTAAATATTTCAGACAGACAGACAGACGTTTTATTCAGTGATAGGCCACTGGCCAAAAAGACATTCATAGATATGATAAGAAGTTACATGCGTTTTACATAAAAACATCAGAATCTCTTATTTCCCCAACCATATATAAAATTAATATAAATTATTTATAACATGTTTGTTGAAGACATTATGTCTGTGTTGTGAAATAGGATGTTTCAAATATTTATCCAGAAACTCATTCCTTATATCTAGGTAGGCTTTACAATAAAGTAAAACATGTAATATATTTTGTTATACATGTTAAATATTTCAGATACCTGACACGCATACCTGACACAGTTATCCGGGTCATTAACACAGTCCGTGTTACACTGGAACCTCTCCCAGTCCAGGAAACCCATGGGTGGGGTGAGGGCGAGGCCGTTGTTCAAAGCCCGGGACACCCCCAGCACAGCCAGTACTACGAGCAGATGTAGACACGCCATATCGATCCAGCGTGAAGTCAGAATGATACTGGCGCATGTTACACTGACCACAACACCGGGTAATCTCTGTGGCCGGTGACAAGTGTGGAACAAGAGAGACCTATCTACACCTGACCCTAGGTTGGAACAGAGAGTACAACTTGGGATTGTTCATATGACCTTTCACTCGCCTCTCAGGCGCTGCCACCGTCCTTGCCGCGTCCTCATGGTCACATACTGTCCCTGTAACATTCCCATTGAGTCAACTGTCACTGTAACATTGCCATAGCCTCACACAGTCCATGTAACTTTGTCACAGCCTTAAACTGTCACTGTAACCTTATCATGGCCTCACACTGTCAATGTAACATTGTCATGGCCTCACATTGTCAATGTAACCTTGTCATGGCCTCACACTGTCAATGTAACCTTGTCATGGCCTCACACTGTCAATGTAACCATGTCATGGCCTCACACTGTCAATGTAACCATGTCATGGCCTCAGACTGTCAATGTAACCTTGTCATGGCCTCACACTGTCAATGTAACCTTGTCATGGCCTCACACTGTCAATGTAACCTTGTCATGGCCTCACACTGTCAATGTAACCATGTCATGGCCTCAGACTGTCAATGTAACCTTGTCATGGCCTCACACTGTCAATGTAACCTTGTCATGGCCTCACACTGTCAATGTAACCTTGTCATAGCCTCACACTGTCAATGTAACCTTGTCATGGCCTCACACTGTCAATGTAACCTTGTCATGGCCTCACACTGTCAATGTAACCTTGTCATGGCCTCACACTGTCAATGTAACCTTGTCATGGCCTCACACTGTCAATGTAACCTTGTCATGGCCTCACACTGTCAATGTAACCTTGTCATGGCCTCACACTGTCACTGTAACCTTGTCATGGCCTCACACTGTCAATGTAACCTTGTCATAGCCTCACACTGTCACTGTAACCTTGCCATGGCCTCACACTGTCAATGTAACCTTGTCATGGCCTCACACTGTCAATGTAACCTTGTCATAGCCTCACATTGTCAATGTAACCTTGTCATAGCCTCACACTGTCACTGTTACAGTGAAACATTACCATAGACTCACACTGTCACTGTAACCTTGTCATAGCCTCACATTGTCACTGAAACATTGCCATAGCCTCACACTGTCACTGTAACCTTGCCATAGCCTCACACTGTCACTGTAACCTTGTCATAGCCTCACACTGTCACTGTAACCTTGTCATAGCCTCACATTGTCACTGTAACCTTGTCATAGCCTCACACTGTCACTGTAACCTTGTCATGGCCTCACATTGTCACTGTAACCTTGTCATAGCCTCACACTGTCACTGTAACCTTGTCATAGCCTCACATTGTCCCTGTAACCTTGTCACAGCCTCACATTGTCATTGCCACCTTGTCACAGCCTCACTCTGTCACTGTAACCTTGTCATAGCCTCACATTGTCAATGTAACATTGTCATAGCCTCACACTGTCCCTGTAACCATGTCATAGCCTCACTCTGTCAATGTAACCTTGTCATAGCCTCACACTGTCACTGTAACATTGTCATAGCCTCACACTGTCCCTGTAACCATGTCATAGCCTCTCTCTCTCAATGTAACCTTGTCATAGCCTCACATTGTCAATGTTACAGTGTAACATTGCCATAGACTCACACTGTCACTGTAAACTTGTCATAGCCTCACACTGTCCCTGTAACCATGTCATAGCGTCACTCTGTCAATGTAACCTTGCCATAGACTCACATTGTCACTGTAACCTTGTCATAGCCTCACATTGTCACTGTTACAGTGTAACATTGCCATAGACTCACACTGTCACTGTAACCTTGTCATAGCCTCACTCTGTCAATGTAACCTTGTCATAGAGTCACACTGTCAATGTGACCCGTGAAGATCCGGGGTAGAATAGGTCTTCAGCAACCCATGTGCTTGCCATAACAAGGCGACTATCTTGTCGTAAGAGGCGACTAACGGGATCGGGTGGTCAGTTTCGCTGACTTGGTTGACAAATGTCATCGGTTCCCAATTGCGCAGATCGATGCTCATGCTGTTGATCACTGGATTGTCTGGTCCAGACTCGATTATTTCACAGACCGCCGCCATATAGCTGGAATATTGCTGGAGTGCGGCGTAAAACTAAACTCACTCACTCACTCACTCACTGTCAATGTAACCTTGCCATAGACTCACATTGTCACTGTAACCTTGTCATAGCTAGCCTCACATTGTCGCTGTAACATTGCCATAGCCTCACACTGTCCCTGTAACCATGTCATAGCCTCACACTGTCAATGTAACCTTCTCATAGCCTCACACTGTCAATGTAACCTTGTCATAGCCTCATACTGTCCCTGTAACCTTGTCATAGCCTCACACTGTCACTGTAACATTGTCATTGCCTCACACTGTCAATGTAACCTTGCCATAGCCTCACATTGTCACTGTAACCTTGTCATAGCCTCACACTGTCACTCGATCTAACCCTGGCATAGCCTCACACTGTCCCTGTAACCTTGTCATAGCCTCACACTGTCAATGTAACCTTGTCATAGCCTCACATTGTCACTGTAACCTTGTCATAGCCTCACACTGTCAATGTAACCTTGTCATAGCCTCACTCTGTCAATGTAAAACCATGACATGCCATCACACCTCCTGTAACCTTCACTCACTCTGTCAATGTAACCTTGTCATGGCCTCACACTGTCAATGTAGCCTTGTCATGGCCTCACACTGTCAATGTAACCTTGTCATGGCCTCACACTGTCAATGTAACCTTGTCATAGCCTCACACTGTCAATGTAACCTTGTCATAGCCTCACACTGTCACTGTAACCTTGTCATAGCCTCACATTGTCACTGTAACCTTGTCATAGCCTCACACTGTCAATGTAACCTTGTCATAGCCTCACACTGTCAATGTAACCTTGTCATAGCCTCACACTGTCACTGTAACCTTGTCATAGCCTCACACTGTCAATGTAACCTTGTCATAGCCTCACACTGTCCCTGTAACCATGTCATAGCCTCACACTGTCCCTGTAACCTTGTCATAGCCTCACACTGTCAATGTAACCTTGTCATAGCCTCACACTGTCCCTGTAACCTTGTCATAGCCTCACACTGTCACTGTAACCTTGTCATAGCCTCACACTGTCACTCTAACCTTGTCATATCCTCACTCTGTCCCTGTAACCTTGTCATAGCCTCACACTGTCACCATGCCATAGCCTCACATTGTCACTGTACTGCCACAGCGTCATTTGCCTCTGTAACTGTAACATTATCATTCCACCAAAATGACACTGTAACATTGTCATAACGTATTTTCCATGGTTTATCTTTTTGATTGTTTACCTCACCAATAGTGATGACGTGATAGTAATGGAATCGTACCCTGTAAATAAACAATCCACGATGCAACAGGAACAGATTCTGTAAAAACATCCTGGAAAGGAAAATGCGTTTGTCGCTTTTATCTGAGAAAATGTCTGTAGAAACATACAAAACACTCATGCAGTTGATTTTTATATACATGTACATAATTAAGTATTTTGCATTCATCTTGTCAGTTCATTACCGCCATCGTCAAAAACGTGCTGAAGTGAAAACTTTACGATATTACCTCGACACCGAAAGTGCACGATACGCACGCTTTTCCCATGCTCGAGACACGCATATGCTTATTTCAATTTGAGACCCGAAAGGGAAATACTGAATTGAGACGTCAGTTCACAGACCCATAAACATTTTATGTCGTATCTACTATTGTGACATCGATATCTCAAAAGTCTCATTCAAAAAGGTGATATCTTCAAAAAAAAGTGTTGTGATAAAAAAATTTAGTGTCTGGCCGGAGAAACTTGGATCCTTCGGAAATCCCCTGACTTTGAACGTGGTCAGTAAATTTCTCAATCGGAAGAGGTAACCCTCGAGGACGAAGCGCACGAATTGCTATGTTGTCACTTTCAGGTAAGTGCATTTTATACAGCATATTGTAAGGCTGTGTTATTTCTTCATTGGGGTTATTTGGATCACGACTGCTGCAGGGCAGCTGTTGTATTGCAATTTAAACACATTGTGGATTCGTGAAGATTCAGGGCGATGGAGTAGTCTAATGGTTAAAGAGTTCGCACGTCACGCCGAGAACCCGGGTTCGATTCCCCACACATGGGTACAATGTGTGAAACCCATTTTTCAATGTACCCCGCTGTCAATGGCAACTCATTTGGTACTTCGTGGTAGTAATTCTTTATCTCGAATAACATTGAATCACGTATGATGTACGGAAATTACCGATGTTTTGCGAATGCAAATCGATGGAAGGGAGATAACTCTAGTCTGTTTTTCTTCATTCGTGACCAACTCGTGTTATTCCGGGACAAGCCGTCTTCTTGGAGGTTACGGAAAGGGGCGAGTGGTGACGAATGTTTTTTCTTGTCAGCAAAATCTAGCGATGGCTACAAAAGGATTTGTACCCGTGCTTCAAACAATTCAAAATTAACATTAAGGTGTTCGGTAAGATAAATACGTTGTTCACTGGTCCCTCGGGGCCCATGGGTTGATGTACCCTCGATGTTTGTTTAGGTGCATAAACCGATGCCCTCCTCGTGAACAGTGAACAACTTACAATGACGTATCGATGACACAGTACAGCTCTATCCAATATATACCTGGAGTAAAATGTAAACAAATCCTACATCCGTGTATTGTTCAGTGTGGATTAGGTTCAGCGTGGATTAGGATTAGGATTAAGTTCCAAATGCCCTTAAAGGAACACATCGACCCAAGTTGATAACTTGACCCTGACCTTATTTTCAAGGTCATGGAGAACATTTGCCATTTATCAACTATTTGTAGAACTTCTGCATATAACTGGTTCTAAAAAAAAAAGATATACATGGATATTGTTATTTGTATCTGATAGTGATTCGATTTCTAGTGATATTTCTTGACATAACAGGTGTCCAGGCAGGTAAGGTGTTCGCCAAAGGCCCTGGTTCTCTTCCTAGACGGGTACAATGTGTAAAGCCCATATGGTTAGATTATTGATAAAAGCGCCATAAAACCACCCACACTCACTCACTCACTCTCAGAAAACCCAAATATTGTTACCAATATGTTTTTGTACTTAATTAAAGCAAGGCCAACATTCAAGACCAGCCATAAATGTTTCTTTCAGTCCACGGACCGCCTCCGTGGTGTAGTGAGTGAAGGGAGGGTCCGCCCTGAGAGCGGAAGTTCGCGGGTTTGATCCCCGACTGCGTCATACCAAAAGACGTTAAAATATGGTTCTTGTTGGTCCCTGCCTGGCGCTCGGCATTAATGGGTACAACAAGGACTGGTCGGCTCGGAGTCAATTGCTTCACTGCGGCATGGTATCTCAATGGGCTAGCACTATAAAACCAGCTTCAGTCTGGGCTAGTACAAGCAGCCGCACATACGCATACACACGCATGCACGTCGTTTTATGAGCGAAATATTCTCAAGCACGACGTTAAACCCAATTTTACCAGCCATAAATGTTTCTTTCAGTCCACGAGATAGAATGTTATCATGCACTAAAATGTATTCACAAATTTGGTTAGGTCAAGTATTTTGTAAAGTTCCAGCGTTGAAATGTCTATCCTTGTACGTTTTACTATCCTGTTGGCGGCGGGGAACATAGCCACCTGATTGGCAAATAGCTGTTGTCTTATGTTTCAAGTTAATTGACTGCTACACGCACGTTTATCGTATTACTTAAACTGTTTGTCAGATACGAAGGTGTTGTTCGTCTCGGTGGTGGTAGTGTTGTTCCTGTTGGTGTCTGTGTACGACAGCTGGTCGGACAGTATCTCACTACAGTACGTTGGGTCGGACCATCATCAACAGCACATCACATATCAGTAAGTACACCTCTATTACACACCAGTAAGTATAGCTCCATCACACACTAGCAAGTATAGCTGCGCCACACACCAAGCATAGCTGCACCACACACCAGTAAGTATAGCTGCATCACACACCAGTAAGTATAACTGCATGACACACACCAGTAAGTATAACTGCATCACACACCCCAGTAAGTATAGCTGCACCACACACCAGTAAGTATAACTGCATCTCACACACCAGTAACTATAACTGCATCACACACCAGTAAGTATAGCTGCATCACACACCAGTAAGCATAACTGCATCACACACCAGTAACTATAACTGCATCACACACCAGTAACTATAACTGCATCACACACCAGTAAGTATAACTGCATCACACACCAATAAGTATACCTGCATCGCTCAGCTGCAAGTATAGCTGCGCCACACACCAGTAAGTATAGCTGTATCCACACACCAGTAACTATAAGTGCATCACACACCAGTAAGTATAGCTGCATCACACACCAGTAACTATAACTGCATCACACATCAAGTAAGTTAACTGCATACCACTCACTCAGTCACTATAACTGCATCACGCACACCAAGTATAGCTGTACCACACACCAGTAACTATAACTACATCACACACCAAGTATAGCTGCACCACACACCAGTAAACTATAACTGCATCACACACCAAGTGGTATAGCTGTACCACACACCAGTAACTATAACTGCATCACCTCACACCTGTAAGTATAGCTGCATCACTCACCAGTTACTACTATAACTGCATCACACACCAGTAAGTATAAGCTGTATCACCACCAGTAACTATAACTGCATCACACACCAGTAACTATAACTGCATCACACACACCAGTAAGTATAGCTCCATCACACTAGTAACTATAACTGCATCACACCAACACCAGTAAGTATAGCTGTATCACACACCAGTAAGTATAACTGCATCACACACCAGTAAGTATAGCTGCATCACACACCAGTAACTATAACTGCATCACACACCAGTAAGTATAACTGCATCACACACCAGTAAGTATAACTGCATCACACACCAGTAAGTATAGCTGCATCACACACCAGTAAGTATAACTGCATCACACACCAGTAAGTATAGCTGCATCACAAGCAAGAATAGCGGCGCCACCAGCAAGTATAGCTGCACCACATGTACCAGTAACTATAGCTGCATCACACACCAGTAACTATAACTGCATCGCTCACCACAGCTGCATCGCTCACCAGTAAGTATAGCTGTGCTCCCACACACCAAGTATAGCCCCATCACACACCAGTAAGTATAGCTGTATCACCAGCATGTATAGCCGCGCCACACACCAAGTATAGCTCCATCACACACCAGTAACTATAACTGCATCACACACCAGTAAGTATAGCTGCATCGCTCCACCAGTAAGTAAGCTGCTCCAATATACCATTTACAGCTCCATCACACACCAGTAAGTATAACTGCATCACACCAGCAAGTATAACTGCTCCATCACACACACCAGTAACTATAACTGCATCACACATTAGTAAGTATAGCTGCATCGTTCACCAGGAAGTATAGCTGCTCACACACCACCAAGTACAGCCCCATCACACACCAATTACTATAACTGCATCACACACCAGTAAGTATAGCTGCATCGCTCACCAGCAAGTATATAGCTGCATCGCTCACCAGCAAGTATAGCCGCGCCACTAACCAAGTACAAGCTCCATCACACACCAGTAAGTATAACTGCATCACACACCAGCAAGTATAGCCGCTCCCACACCAAGTATAGCTCCATCACACACACCAGTAAGTATAGCTGCATCACCCACCAATAAGTATAAGCTCCATCCTTCACCAGTAAAGTATAACTCCATCACACACCAGTAGCTATAACTGCATCACACACCTGTAAGTATAAGCTGCATCGCTCACCAGCAAGTATAGCTGCGCCACACACTAAGTATAGCTCCATCACACACCAGTAACTATAACTGCATCACACACCAGTAAGTATAGCTGCATCGCTCACCAGTAAGTATAACTGCATCGCTCACCAGTAACCAAAACTGCATCACACACCAGTAACTATAACTACATCACACACCAGTAACTATAACTGCATCACACACTAGTAACTATAACTGCATCACACACCAATAAGTATACCTGCATCGCTCACCAGCAAGTATAGCTGCGCCACACCAAGTATAGCTGTACCACACACCAGTAAGTATAAGTGCATCACACACCAGTAAGTATAGCTGCATCACACACCAGTAACTATAACTGCATCACACATCAGTAAAGTATGGTTGTACCACTCACCAGTCACTATAACTGCATCACACACCAAAGTATAGCTGTACCACACCAGTAACTATAACTGCATCACACACCAAGTATGGCTGTACCACACACCAGTAACTATAACTGCATCACCTCACACCTGTAAGTATAGCTGTATCACTCACCAGTTACTATAACTGCATCACACACCAATAAGTATAGCTGTATCACTCACCAGTAACTATAACTGCATCACACACTCAGTAACTATAACTGCATCACACACCAGTAAGTATAGCTCCATCACACACCAGTAACTATAACTGCATCACCTAACACCAGTAAGTATATAGCTGTATCACTCACCAGTAAGTATAACTGCATCACACACCAGTAAGTATAGCTGCATCACTCACCAGTAAGTATAACTGCATCACACACCAGTAAGTATAACTGCATCACACACCAGTAAGTATAACTGCATCACACACCAGTAAGTATAGCTGCATCACACACACCAGTAAGTATAACTGCATCACACACCAGTAAGTATAGCTGCATCGTTCACCAGCAAGAATAGCGGCGCCACAGCAAGTGCATAGCTGTACAACATACCAGTAACTATAACTGCATCACACACCAGTAGCTATAACTGCATCCCTCACCAGCAAGTATAGCTGCATCGCTCACCAGTAAGTATAGCTGCTCCACACACCAAGTATAGCTCCATCACACACCAGTAAGTATAGCTGCATCGCTCACCAGCATGTATAGCCGCGCCACACACCAAGTATATAGCTCCATCACACACCAGTAACTATAACTGCGTCACACACCAGTAAGTATACCTGCATCGCTCACCAGTAAGTATAAAGCTGCATCCACACACCAATTACAGCTCCATCACACACCAGTAAGTATAGCTGCATTGCTCACCAGCAAGTATAGCCGCGCCACACACCAAGTATAAGCTCCATCACACACACCAGTAACTATAACTGCATCACACATTAGTAAGTATAGCTGCATCGTTCACCAGGAAGTATAGCTGCTCCACACACCAAGTACAGCCCCATCACACACCAATTACTATAACTGCATCACACACCAGTAAGTATAGCTGCATCGCTCACCAGCAAGTATAGCTGCATCGCTCACCAGCAAGTATAGCCGCGCCACTAACCAAGTACAGCTCCATCACACACCAGTAAGTATAACTGCATCACACACCAGCAAGTATAGCCGCTCCACACCACCAAGTATAGCTCCATCACACACTAGTAACTATAGCTGCATCGCCCACCAATAAAGTATAGCTCCATCCTTCACCAGCAAGTATAACTCCATCACACACTAGTAACTATAACTGCATCACACACCTGTAAGTATAGCTGCATCGCTCACCAGCAAGTATAGCTGCGCCACACACTAAGTATAGCTCCATCACACACTAGTAACTATAACTGCATCACACACCAGTAAGTATAGCTGCATCGCTCACCAGTAAGTATAGCTGCATCGCTCACAAACAAGTATAAGCTGCGTCACACACCAAATATAGCACCATCAACACCAGTAAGTATATAGCTGCATCACACACAAGTAAGTATAGCTGCATCACACACCATTGAGTATAGCTGCATCACACACCAGTAAGTACAGCTTCACCTCACATCAGTAAGTATAGCTGCATCACACACCAGTAAGTATAGCTGCATCACACACCAGTAAGTATAACTGCATCACACACCAGTAAGTATAGCTGCATCACACACCAGTAAGTATAACTGCATCACACACCAGTAAGTATAGCTGCATCGGCTCACCCCAGTAAGTATAGCTGCATCGCTCACCAACAAACAAGTATAGCTGCGTCACACACCAAGTATAGCATCATCACACACTAGTAACTGTAACTGCATCACACACCAGTAAGTATAGCTGCATCGCTCACCAGCAAGTATAGTATAACTGCAAGTATAGCTCCATCACACACTAGTAACTATAACTGCATCACACAACAGTAAGTATAGCTGCATCGCTCACCAGTAAGTATAGCTGCATCGCTCACAGGCAAGTATATAGCTGCTCCGCACACCAAATACAGCTGCATCATACCAGTAAGTGAAGCTGCATCAAACATCAGTAAAGTACAGCTCCATCAACACCAGTAAGTATAGCTGCATCATCACACACAAGTAAGTATAGCTGCATCCACACCATTGAAGTATAGCTGCATCACACACCAGTAAGCACAGCTTCACCCTCACACCAGTAAGTATAGCTGCATCACACCCCAGTAAGTATAGCTGCATCACACACCAGTAAGTAAAGCTGCATCACACACCAGTAAGTATAGCTGCATCACACACCAGTAAGTATAGCTGCATCACACACCAGTAAGTATAGCTGCATCACACACCAGTAAGTATAGCTGCATCACACACCAGTAAGTATAACTGCATCACACACCAGTAAGTATAGCTGCATCACACACCAGTAAGTAAAGCTGCATCACACACCAGTAAGTATAGCTGCATCACACACCAGTAAGTATAGCTGCATCACACACAAGTAAGTATAGCTGCACCACACACCAGTAAGTATAGCTGCATCACACACCAGTAAGTACAGCTGCATCACACACCAGTAAGTATAGCTGCATCACACACCAGTAAGTATAGCTGCATCACACACACCAGTAAGTATAGCTGCATCACACACCAGTAAGTATAGCTGCATCACACACCAGTAAGTATAGCTGCATCACACACCAGTAAGTATAGCTGCATCACACACCAGTAAGTATAGCTGCATCACACACCAGTAAGTATAGCTGCATCACACACCAGTAAGTATAGCTGCATCTCACACCAGTAAGTACAGCTGCATCAAGCACCAGGTGACTAGCAGTCAAGTGCGTTGCGTTAGTAAACTCCTCGAAATCAAACTTATGCTTCTCTTGTTCATACTATAGATAACAGGTTTTACTGTTACACAATTGAAAATATTTAACTGAAACAGATATATTGTTTTTGTTTTAGCCATATCGATCGTCATAAGAAATGGATTGTTACGTCATCGATTTCCTCCGATGTCACAGCCGTGTCTGGGTGGAAAGTAATATTACTTCCTAACACCAAGGAGACAATGGAGCACTGCAGGTACAATATGTATTGTTATACAACTTCTACCTGAACAACTATACCCCTTTAGGGGGCGGTGGGGTAGCCTAGTGGTTAAAGCCTTGGCTCGTCACGCCGAAGACCCGAGTTCGATTCCCACATGGGCACAATGTGTGAAGCCCATTTCTGGTGTCCCCGCCGTGATATTGCTAAAACGGCGTAAAACCATACTCAGTCAGTCAGTCAGTCAGTCTACCTGAACAACTATACCCCTTTATTTACAGCACCATCATTTGTGTATGTAGTAATTCAAACTGGTTAAAAGACAGCCGAACTATTCTGCTTGTCTGTCTGAAGTAAGCTGTCATTGGCTTGTTTAACAATTCGGTACAGCTCAAGTGCCTTGAAACTCCCATTTTTTTAATTCCTATACCAATGACTCCAATAGACGCCACTTATAATATAATAATTGGTCATTCGTATAGCGCTTAACTCCACGCCCCGTGGATATTACTACCCCGGATAACCCAAGCTACCTGTGGGGCGTTAGAAGGTTAATAGTCATATTACTTATACCACCGGGTACCCATTTTCTGCTGGATGAACAGGCAATTTTTGAACAAACTCACTTGCCTAAGGTGTGACCACATAGATGTCTCGTTGTGTGGCAGGGCATAAGTCCTTGAAACTCAGGAGTCAAATTGCCAGACACGGTCACCCATCCAAGGACTCTACATCCAAAGACTTTTACGCTTCAACGACCTGGTGAAAACGCTGGCTCGACACGTTATCCAAGCCGCTGCCTTTAGTTGCTTATTGTCGCTGGTTCCCGCCTCACCAATTTAACACACCATGATATAATAACAATAACTAATTCATTTTTCATAGTGCCTAGTATCCAAGCCTCTGCCTGTAGTTGCTCACTGGCGCTGATTATTATTACCCCGAATAACCCAAGCTGCCTGTTAGGCGCAAGAAGGTTATAGTCACGTGGCTTATCCAACATGATACCCATATTCTGCTGGGTGAACAGAGGCAACTTTGAACAAAGTCACTTGCCTGAGGGGAAATATTGTTTAAAGCTGTGTTAAACCACACTCACTATGAGTGATTTAGATCCCACACTGCCAAGTGGTTAAAGCGTTGGCTCGTCACGCTGAAGACCCGGGTTCGATTCCCAACCTGGGTACAATGTGTGAAGCCCATTTCTGGTGTCCCCCCGCCGTGATATTGCTAAAAGTGGCGTAAAACCATACTCACTCACTCAATCAATCAATCCACTCTAAACACTGATATCCAGGTACAAACGCTTAAAGCGAAAAAATATCTTCGACATGTTCATGGGTAATCTATGTGAAACCTAGGTTATTTGATGGCCACGAGTGCTGAGATGCGTCAGTCAGACACGCCAGAAAACTTATTACAAACGTACCGATGAATTTCACTTTAAGCAAAAAAGTAAATCAAATAAAGTGAAATTAGGATTGCGAATCCTCATAATTTTACCTTGCCAATTGAACACTTAAATCTCAGAATTTTATTCAACTGTGTGAAGCCTGTTTCTGGTGTCCCACGCCGTGATCTTGCTGAAGTAAAACTAAACTCACTCACTTCTAGGTTTGTCTGAAGTTCGTATATTTCACCAATTTGTAAACGTCGTGGGCTCATCCCAACCCGCCCTTTTGTTTCTACTCACTCACTTTTTTCCCCCACAGGTTTACATGGTGTTCTGAACTAAGCAGAGACGGCTTCAACACGCCACAGATGACACTGAAAAGCTGGAAAATGAAGGGTTGTATTTATGCGATATCTCACGGCGCAAAGGTCATAAGCGTTATCCGTCACTTGGACACCCACGTGCTGCACGTGTTACAACGAATGGCTGCTCATCAACCTCAGACAGGAATAGTTCTGAAAACAAACAAAACCTTTCTTGACCCTTTTATATCCAAATGTAACGTGACGAGTGAAGAACCAGAAAAGGAGTATGCATTGTTTGATTATTATATCGACACGCGTGTGCATCCCCTAATTCTGTCAAACCAAGTGGTGTGTGTGAAGAATAGTATCAGACAGGATAAACTGAACTATTTTCGTACCGACAGCCGCCAACCTCCTGTTTTCCTCCCGCGCAACACGTTTACCTCCCTTGGTTCTGAAATAACCGTCTTCCGGTATGATGCATTCTGGGCTCTGGCGCTAACGGAAGTCGACTTCGGGGATCTGATTACACAGAGATTCGTGTGGGAAATTGATGGAATGGTTGGGATATACCCGTTTCACGAGTCACCAATACGGAATCAACAGATATTTGAAAGAAGAACCTTGATCGCAGCCCTACTCAGAACGTGGCAATGTACAAAGAATTCTGATTTACTTGATTGTTTGGGTAATGTGATAAATAGAATAGGATCGGAACAACTGATTGATTTCAGAGATGTCCTTTGGTTGACAGAATGGATTTCAGAGTTAAGGAATACCAGCTATCAAATTCCACATCGCCAATTTCAAGAAAGCAAGCCGAATCGTAGCACAACCGTGGGACTAATAAAGATCCCACAAACAAATAGCAGCGTAGGTTTGTTTAACAAATTTGCCTACAGTTATTTGAAAGACCTGTGCCCTGAAACTGACATCAGATTTCCACACGCGAGCATAGATGATATAGCTCTCATTATTACATTCAATGTTCCAAGATTTTATAAAAACATACAGAGTTTGGAGGTAATGTATCGACCATACTTTCCAAACATTATTTACTGTGGACCGAAACTAAAGGCCTTTAAGGAATTTGTCAGTAACTTCACAACCGGGAATTTTATTTATGTGGAAGCGTTCAAGAGAGGGTGGTATTATATGTATGAATGCACAGTGGAAGCGATGAAACTGAACATGGACGTGAAAGGTTTCTTACAGATTGGCGACGACACACTCATTAATCCTTGGAATCTGTACTCGCAACCACGGGAAAAGATATGGCTTCTCAAAAGCTTTCGGAGGGCAAATGCTTCTCTGGACGAATTGAAACCTCGCTGGGGTTGGTGGAGAAAGGTGAAACCCAGAATACAGGCTGTTTTCAACGAAATACGGGATACTGCAGAACACGGAACAAAGGCAGGGCTTGAATATCGTTTCTTACGAAATTTTCAAAATGTTTCCCGTAATTTTACAAATTTGTTCATTCAGACTTGCGACTTTATTTATGTGCCAGCCATTTTGAAAGCTAATTTCACAATCATGGCAAATTTGTTATTGAAACATAAAGTGATGATTGAGATAGGTTTTGCTAACATTGCCTTTGGCTTGCAGAGATGGCGGGTTATACATTTTGTGAAAGATGTTGGCTTGTGGGACAACAGGGATCGCTATATAGAAATGTACAGCCCTAAAGGGGTGTTTCTGCACCCTTTTAAACTACAGACATACCTGAAAACTGGTCCCGGTCGATATTATTTCTTCTGCAACACCTATCTCAATTCAACCTTACGGCCACCCTGAGTATCAGCTGATTATGTTACTTCCGGGCAATGGGTGAATGCTGTCGTCTGATCTGTTTACAAATCTTAGATAAATGTATACAGATGATTTTTTTGTGTTAGTAATGTAATTTCGCCACACCTAGTAAGAATTCATCGCTGTGCTTTTCGAAAGAGGCGTCTTAATGGATCTTGTGGTCAGGTTCGGTGACGCAGACGACTTCCGGCGATGTGGAACATGCTCTTAACATTGGGGGGCGGTGGGGTAGCCTTATGGTTAAAGCGTTGGCTCGTCACGCCGAAGACCCGGGTTCGAATCCCCACATGGGCACAATGTGTGAAGCCCATTTCTGGTGTCCCCTGCCGTGATGTTGCTGGAATATTGCTAAAAGCGGCGTAAATCCAAACTCAGTCAGTCAGTCAGTCTTAACATTTAGCAACTAAAAAATAATTTCAGGTTGATCATGTGTGTATGCAATGTCACACAGCAAGAATGTGTGTGCGGCACTAAATCGTACAATTATCAGATCCTGCACGGTGTTCGTGGATCGTTTGTTATTGGGCTGCACACACGGAGTGACGTTAATTTGTGTAAGATTTGTATCGAATTCAATGTTCACTATTCTGTGACAGACAACTAAAACAAGATAGGTCCCAATGCTTGTCGTAAGAGGCGACTAACGGGATCGAGTGGTCAGGCTCGCTGACTTGGTTGACACATATCATCGTATCCCAAGTGCGTGGGTCGATGCAAATACTCATTACAATCGCTGTATTGTCTGGTCCAGACTCTATTGTTTACAGACCGCCGCCACATATATAGTTAGAATATTGCTGCGTGTGGCAAACAAATAATCATTACAATTCCTGAAGAGTATGTGCACGTCTGACGAAAGGTTTGCCAGATTCCTCGTCGACAATTCTACACAAGTCACATTTCGAAATTAATCTGTGCAATTTTGAAACCCCATGACTACAAGAACACGTAGATGCACTTTTCAGTCCTTACATGCTTCCAGGTGTATGCAGGGAAATCAATAGTTGCAGTATCGTGAGCGCAACAATGCCAGGTACTTGTAGGTTTCTACAGAATTGCATTGGTTCCTTTTGAAAATAGCATACATTATCCTGCAATCGCATTGAACTGCAGTTAAATAAGCACAGTAGCTTATGTATTCCTTTACCTGCAATCACATTGAACTGCGGTTAAATAAGCACAGTAGCTTTTGTATTCCTTTACCTGCAATCACATTGTACTGCAGTTAAATAAGCACACATGTATTCCTTTACCTGCAATCACATTGAACTGCAGTTAAATAAGCACAGTAGCCTTATGTATTCCTTTACCTGCAATCACATTGAACTGCAGTTAAATAAGCACAGTAGCTTTTGTATTCCTTTACCTGCAATCACATTGAACTTGAAATAAGCACAGTAGCTTTTGCATTCCTTTACCTGCAATCACAAGAACTGCACTTAAATAAGCACAGTAGCTTACCTGCAATCACATTGAACTGGCAGTTAAATAGCTTTGCATTCCTTTACCTGCAATCACATTGAACTGCAGTTAAATAAGCACAGTATGCTTTACCTGTCACATTGAACTGCAGTTAAATAAGCACCTTTTACCCGCAATCACATTGAACTGCAGTTAAATCACATTGAACTGCATTGAACTGCAGTTAAATAAGCACAGTAGCTTTTGCATTCCTTTACCTGCAATCACATTGAACTGCAGTTAAATAAGCACAGTAGCTTTTGTATTCCTTTACCTGCAATCACATTGAACTGCAGTTAAATAAGCACAGTAGCTTTTGCATTCCTTTACCTGCAATCACATTGAACTGCAGTTAAATAAGCACAGTAGCTTATGTATTCCTTTACCTGCAATCACATTGAACTGCAGTTAAATAAGCACAGTAGCTTTTGCATTCCTTTACCTGCAATCACATTGAACTGCAGTTAAATAAGCACAGTAGCTTTTGTATTCCTTTATCCTGGAGATAGTGACTTGCCTATGGCTTCAGACTGATTGCCCTCGAGTCTTTCAGAAGAGGGTGAAACAATCTAATGGTAAAATAACGCTTTGCAATACGCCCCCCTCAAATACAAATCTGTATTAAACTTTCTTTGCATGCCAATTAACGCTTCAAATCGATGTTGATCAAAGCTATTTTTCCTTAACAAAACTGTTCATTCTTAATCGTATTATACAGAATATTTTAATATCTGTTTGCACATTTATATCTCTCGCTGTAACAGTGAGTGAGTGAGTTTAGTTTTACTTCGCACTCAGCAATATTCCAGCTATATGGCGGCGGTCTGTAAATAACCGAGTCTGGACCAGACAATCCAGTGATCAACAGCATGAGCATCGATCTGCGCAATTGGGAACCGATGACATGTGTCCACCAAGTCAGCGAGTCTGACCACCCGATCCCGTTAGTCGCCGCTTACGAAAAGCATGGGTTACTGAAAATCAATATTCTAACCCGGACATTCACGGGTCCTAGAAACAAGAAAAACATTTCCACAAACACAATGTAGCCCGCAAATGTTTATGGATGCACTCGTGCAGAATCAGAATTCGTAAAAATTGTAAATCCCGCCAAGCAGATAATACTGACAAAACACTGCATTCTGACTGACGATCACGACAGAAGCTCGGTAGTTCCAGTTAAAGTGGCTTTTATTGTGAACACGAATGAATGCTATTTCTGATAAATACATTTACCAAATTTACCAAATCGAATCGAGAGAAATACTATAGTCTGTTTGCAGTGAAAACGTACCGATGAATTTCACTTTAAACAAAAAAGTAAATCAAATAAAGTGAAATTAAGATTGCGAATCCTCATAATTTTACCTTGCCAATTGAACATTTAAATCTCAGAATTTTATTCAACTTAGGATAAAAGTTGTTTAACAAACGATCATTGTTTCAAATCGCTATTATTGGTATGTATTACCAGGGGGTACACGCAGTAGTTGGTACAGTGAAACAAATGCACGTGCGGTACGTGATGAGCGTTAACTAAGACTACCGTAGAAACCAACCCTTCTTGTTCTCGGGGCTTCATTTAATGTGCATACCCCCTTGTAATACAAACCAATTACATCGATTTGAAACATGATCGTTTGTTAAACAACTTTTATCCTAAGTTAAATAAAATTCTGAGATTTTTATGTTAAAGTGGCAAGGTAAAGATATGAGGATTCGCAATCATAATTTTTCTTTATTTGATTTACTTTTCTGTTTAACGTGAAATTCATCGGTACGTTTTCACTGCAAACAGACTATAGTATGTTACAACCCCCTTGACCACCGTCATCTAATGAACGTATTCATAATTTATGTTCAAAAAGCCATTAAACACCAGTGACTTTATCTTAATATGTCTCAAAGAGGAACCGCCTTGACCAGCACAATTCCTGTTGGGTTGACAGTCACATTGAACTGACCACTCGGCTTGAACATTCCCATACTGACGTCATCAAACACGTCAGTAACGTTATAGCCGTTCTGATTGGTCAGTGTGATATCCGCCAGGGTCAGGGACATGCGCGTTGGCGTGCCAGCAGAGTTCGGGTTGAAGAAAGCTACTGCATAACTTCCGGGTTTCACCAAAGGCTTCAGCCAGACCTGCACGTTTTGAATCTGCAATTGAAAACAACAGACATGAACATTCTTGTAAGTCTTCGCGTAGACAGACACACCCAATAGCACAAGAAGAGAACATCAATAGAGGCACACACATATGCACACAGACAGACACAGACACTCGTAGTGACAGATGATGCATATGAGACATTGTTTTCCCTGTGAAAACGATGTTTGAGATTAAAGGAATAAGCTTAGTGGTTAAAGCGTTCGCTCGTTCGCTTCGATACCTCGGTATGTTGAGGATATTTTTCTGGTGCCCCCTGTAATTGTAAAACCTCACTCATCCATTCATGGATATAGCCTGAATAAAAAACGTTACGCGTCACTGGAGCTCAGTGTTTTTGCCGATATTAATATTTATACTTGTATGTTTGTATTAAACTCTTTAAAAAAAGAAACGCACATGCCAAAAATAAGGAAATGTATTAAACGTATTTAAGTGTACATAAGTCGATTAAGTTGGATAAATGCTCGATTTGGTTCAGATCAGACGTTTTGGAAGGACATTGACGTTTGCATTGGCGAGATAGGCACCTGTTACACGACCTGTGCGGGATCGAGCGTTGTCGTGCTGAAACACCTCCTTCTGGCGGTTAGAAAGTGGTGAGGTCGCAGGATTTGGTCGATGTAGCGATTTGGTGTAAGATTGACTTGAAACACCTCTAGCTCTGATCTCCCCACACCATTACGCGCTCTTCACCAAATCTGCCCACCTGTCGAACGCAGTTCGACGCAAAACGTTCGTGTCGATGTCGATATATAGACGTTGTCTCTCATCCCGTCGTTGGAGGAGGAAACGCAATTCATCGTGAAACCAAAGACGCCAGTTCGCCAGTTCCATACCTGTACCCTCTTGCACCTTTGGATACATCGTTGTCGGTGGAGTTGCGTCAGGACAGGTCCAACTTTTGGTCGATATGCTCGAATTCCCACTTCTCTCAGACGATTTTTAATTATTGGTCCAAAATTCTTCGAAGACCAGGCACCTGACCTCGCAGTGTCCGTGGCTGTAGCAAATCGGTGACTAAGGTGGAACACCCGGATGAATCGGTCCTGAGCAGGAGTGGTCACTCTTAGTCTTCCACTTCTAGGACGATCTTGGATCGAAATGAAGCGAGTATATCGATACCATAATCGAGGTATGGTGCTGTGGTGGACGTTGAAGTGTCTTGCAACGGTAGACTGGGACTTCCCTGCCTCCAAACGTCCAAAGGCGATATTTCGGTCAGTAGCATTACGCCTTGGCATTTTATTATCTTCGTAAATGTTGTAATGAAATTATGAATTTGGTTTGGCCTTTATAGTCGATGTCTCTCCACATGTTTCCCTCGATGTCTCTCCACATGTGGAAAACGTTT